CAAGATAACTCCATTATTGGAACCAAATGGATATTTAGAAATAAATTAGATGAATCTAGACAAGTTGTTAGAAACAAAGCCAGATTGGTTACATCATGATATAATCAAAAAGAATGTATTGATTATGATGAAACCTATGCACCAGTTGCTCGTTTAGAATCTATAAGAATTTTACTTGTATTTGCATGTTTTATGAATTTTAAATTATATCAAATGGATGTTAAAAGTGCATTTTTAAATGGTTTTATTAAAGAAGTAGTTTTTATAGAACAACCTCCAGGTTTTGAAAATAAAAGTTTTTCAAACCATGTTTTCAAACTTAAAAAAGCATTATATGGTCTAAAACAAACACCCCGTGCTTAGTATGATAGATTAAAGCATTTTTTTTAACTTCCGATTTTAAAATTGGAAAAGTTAGTTCTATTCTTTTTATAAAAAAAAATAAAGATATACTATTAATTCAAATATATGTAGATGATATAGTATTTGGTTCTACTAACGATGATCTTTGTCAAGAGTTTGCTAAGACTATGCAAGATGAATTTGAAATGAGTCACATGGTGAACTCAATTTCTTCCTTGGACTACAAATCAAACAATTAAAGGAAGGAATTTTCATCAACCAAAGCAAATATGCTAAAGAATTACTCAAACGCTTTGGAATGAAAAATACAACAAGCAAATCAACACCAATGAGTACAACTACATCACTTGATAAAGATGAAAATGGTAAGAATGTTGATCAAAAGCTATACCGATGTATGATTAGATCATTTATTTACATTACAGCAAGTAGACCTGATATTATGTTTAGTATATGTTTATGTGCTAGATTTCAATCTAATCCTAAAGAATCTCATCTTAAAACAGTGAAAAGAATTTTTAGATATTTTAAAAACACTACAGATTATGGTTTATTTTATCCTAAGAATAGCACATTTGACTTATTATCATATAGTGATGCTGATTTTGCTGGATGTAAATCCGATAGAAAAAGTACAAGTGGTACATGTCATTTTCTTGGATATTCACTTGTATCTTGGTTTAGTAAAAAACAAAATTCAGTATCATTATCAACTACTGAAGCAGAATATATTGCTGCTAGTCTTGCATGTGCTCAAATTTTATGGATGAAACAAACATTATCTGATTATGATATAGTTTGTCCCACATCATCAATAATGTATTAATGTGTTACAATACTAGTGCCATAATTTATCTAAAAATCCTATTCAACATTTACGTACAAAACATATTAACATAAGACATCATTTTTTACGTGATAATGTACTAAAAGGTGTTATTTTTTTAGATTTTATTTCAACCGATAAACAAATTGCTGATATATTAACAAAACCATTAAAAGAAGAAATATATGTTAAATTAAAAAGAGAATTAAGTATATGCTCTTTGAAAGATTTAAACTAAGTTTTAAAATTAATACATATGCATATTCAGTTTTAATAGTCGACTAATCAAGTTAGTAGTCGACTACATGCACAGACATTGCATATATAAAATACTGTTAATTTCTTAGTAGTCGACTAATAAGAAAAGTAGTCGACTAATTAGAACCAAAAATAGAAAAAAATTCTATCGATTACAGTATAGTCGACTAATCTCACTAGTAGTCGACTACAAAAACTTCATAAAACATATATACACTTGTTTTTGGATATTGGATTCTTTACCCATTTATCCCAATACCTAATACCCGTTAAACTTAAGTTAAATTTGATCTCAACCATTTATTTTTAACCTAATAGATCATGACCTTCCATCATATTTTATTTTGATCAAATCTCAACCTTTCATTTAATTTTTTGATCTAATCTTAGCCACTCATTTTTAACTAAAAGAATCTAATCTTAGTCACTCATTTTTAACTAAAAGAAACTATCCTAACTCCTTCCATCACTCACGTTTTTCACCCCCAAAAACCGCAAAAACACTCATCTTCCTCAGGTCATCCGATTCCAAAGGTTAGGGCATCCTTTCTTTCTCATTTTCTCTCAAACTTTTCATCAAATTTCTTGTCTACTTTGAGTTTTCCAACCTCAGTAGTCGACTACAGCTTCAATTAGCCGACTACTTCTAGGGTTTCAACAGTTTGGTGAGCTCTCTTTCTCTATTCCATTTCCAATTTCGAAATTGAATCATGTCAAAATCAAAGAGGCCTAGGTCTGGACCATCAAATGTAGTTGAAGATTATTCAATTTATCTTAAAGACCCCTATTTGCTTGCCCAATTTAAGGAATTTTAATCTTTCGAAATTATACCTGATAGATTTGTTAAATTTGATGATTTCATCACTCGTAATTTCAGTGATTACTTTGAAAATGTTAGATTATTAGATCTCTTTTCCTCTGAAAATAGGAAACCATACTATCCATTGTTGGTTCAACTATTTCATGTCAATATCTCTAGATATGAAACCGATCGTCACTCGGATGTTCTTAACACTCTTGTGAAGGGAATTGAAATTAATATGACTCCTAAGAAATTAGGTAGAATTTTTAATATTCCTTTTCAAGGTGTTAGTCTTTCGTCTATTAGAATGAATGATAAAAATTTGCTTGCTAATCATATTTTTCTTCCCGGTTATGACAAACCTCTCAATAATTCAAATAAACTTAAGCATATCCCTAGGTTTATAGCTCGAATTCTTACCTACAACCTTTTTTCAAAAATTAGAAGCTTTCATTTTATATCTCTTGACCTAGCCAAATCCCTCTATGCAATTATGGCTAACATAAAAGTAAATTGGCTTGAGGTGTTCTATGGAAATCTTTTAGTTGTTCCTAATGGATCTCTTTCATTTGGAGCTTTTCTTACGAGAATATTTGAGGGATATGATGTTGATCTAGAAACTAAAACTTCTAAGATTCGTTCCATTGATCTTTTTGACTCCAATGTCTTAACTCGGATGAAACTAACCAATTTTGGAATTCACCAAGATGAACCTCAACCTCAACCAGAACAACACCCCCAATATATACCACAAGCCACTGATGAAGCTGGACCCTCTACTAGTCACATTCCACCACCAATGCATGAACCTTCTTGCTTTTCTGACGCACAATATAATACTTTGTCCGCAAGAATACTTCATATTGACTCTGGACAAAAAAACATTGTATGACCAAAATGTACTTGTGCTGAAGAATTAAGAGGCATTAACAAACAAGTTTGATATCCTGGAGACGAAATTTGACATAATGAGCATGAAGATTGACACATACTTAGTGTGTTGGTTAACAATAGAAATCTCCTATGTTAACCATTAGAGTTTATAACTTATCAATAAGTCTAAAAATATCTTATTCATAATAGTTTTCACCCCTTAGTAGTCGACCAATGACTACTTGTAGTCGACTACTGAAGTTCAGATAAAAAATATAAGTTTCTGTCAAATTACAGTCTAGTCGACTAATGACTTTTTATAGTCGACTACTAAGCACTTAGGTAAAATCTCAGTTTTTGTAAAGTTACAGTGTAGTCGACTACTAGACTATATAGTCGACTACTAAAAGTCAATTCAGAATTCTAACTTTCTGTTGTTTACAGTGTAGTCGACTACTACACAGTATACTCGGCTTCGAATTTTGAATTCTAGATTTTTTGTTCTACAGAGTAGTCGACTAATGAATATAGTAGTAGACTACTAAGAAAAATCCTGAGTTTACTGAAATTGTTTGAACTCAGAGTAGTCGACTACAACGACTATTAGTTGACTACTAAAACAGTTTTCTGACATTTTAGTTTTTAAAAAAGTGACTGTTTATAGCCGTTATGTGCACATTTTTGGGGTTTGAAAAATTATCTTTTCAATGGATATAAATAGGTTACAAGTTCAAAAAATTGACTCACTAATTTCTATCTATAAGATTTAAGTTTTGTGCATTTTTCAAGAGTAAAAAATTTCCAGATTTTCACTAAGTGTTGAGAAAAAGCATTCTTTGAGTTAGCATTTGATCTTCATTCAATATACAATCAAATTAGATAATTTTCAGAGATTCAAAACGTTCCTAAGCCACTGCTACACATCGCAATACACTCAAGTCTTATAGGAATCAAGTTGTAACAAGACAAGTGTTCTCACGGATGTGAGAGGTGTAATCTCTTGGTGAAGAGATTGTGTGCAATTTGCAGGGACATGCAAATTGGTCAGGTTTGCTGTTTGGTTTTGTAAGTTTTTCAAAATCATAGTGGAACTCTCAAGTGGGATTTATTTGGAGACTGGATGTATACCTTGGAGGTAGAACCAGTATAAAATTATGTGTTTGTGATTTTCTGTGATTATGCTATCATCTTTGCAAATTATAATCTTCTTTGCATAAATTTTTAAAGAAATACTATTCACCCCCCCTAGTGTTTAAGTGTGATTAGATCAGATCCTACAAATAGGACATAATTAAATAAAATTAAAGATTCACGGTTTTCATGAGTTATACCTTTAACCCAGCTATACCTTTAACCCATGATGTTTGTTCAATTTTGCTATTTTTGTTTTTTTTTTCACGAACTAGCAAACAATTATCAGGAGTTTAAAATTCACGATTTTCATGAGCTATAACCCACGATTTTTGTTGTGTTTCGATCAAATGACAAATAATTACAAATGTAAAATTTATGATTTCATTACCTATAACCCACGATTATTGTCCATTTTTATTCATTTTCACCAATAGCACATATTTAACTGGAGTTTCAAATTTACGATTTTCATGAGCTATAATCTATGATTTTTATCTGTTTTCATTCATTTTCACCAAATAGCAAATAATTAACTAGAATTCAAAATTCACGATTTTTGCTCATTTTTATTTGTTAACAGGGAACAGGACCAAAGCATTTGAGTGCAGCACGAATTTTCAAATAAATAATAGTTGATATGTTGTTGTGAACAAGCTTTACGTGCAAACTTCTTAAACCTATCCTACCATTCAAAATGCAAACTAAAATCACTACATAACCAAAAACCAAAATTGAATTATGTACCTGAATTGAATAAGGGGCTATCAGGTGCATTCACAAACTGAATCAGGAAATTTTCCATGACATCAGCATTGTATTCGAGTGTCGGTCTATCAGAATACCCCAAACCGGGCCAATCCACTATAGTAGCGCGGCAATTGATTCCATCACTTCGTGCCACAATATCTTTTGCAACTACTCTCCATTCCTCGACAGTACTAACATCTGAAATTGTGGGTATCATAAGAATGTGCTTGGCATTGTCAGTAACCTCCCCCTCATGTTCCTCATAGTATATATTCACAGGATTGTCCTGGAATCTCCATTGCCAAGTTCCGCTCTAAGAGCCATAAGCAATTATACAATGAAAATCAATACATTGAAATCACTTTAAACATGATACAACTGATATAGAGAATGAACTGCAGCTAACTTCCCGTCCGTAAATAGAAATATTAAATTTAGGACACAGTGAAGGGGAACAGATCTGTGAAAATCAGCAGTTATCATCAAAGAAATAATAACTTGAAACTCTACTTAAACTACCAAATTCCATTTCTTCTGCCAGTGCTTTCCTTTAGATAATCTATAATTCGTATCATGTAGTCATAAGAGAAGTGCAAATGAAATCAGACCAGATTAAGCCAAATTGGTCAGATTCAGACAATGTTCAAATTTGTTATAAATATGGAGTCACTCGAGTTCCAACTGTTCTATATCACTGATAATTTATGTCGAATAAACTACCGATAAAACTTCTACTGTTGGATTTATTTCTACCTACAGCCCTTTATGCAATTCCAACAGATGACGTATTCTTCCGCAAAGAAGTTATAGCTATAGAATTTGAAGATGATGTTTCATGAGCAAAATCAATGGATAGTCCAATTGTATTGCTATCTCGAAAATTGAGTTTTGCAAAATGACACATTCGCACTATGTTAGCAAAGCCTTCCCCATGTCAGATATTTCCCCCTACATTTTTCAGAAGCCTCTCTTTTACTTGGTTCTTCACTTGAGTAGTTCACAACTTACACTGAATTTCATGCTAACCTATTTCAAACCATAGAAGAGAAATCATTTCCTCCAATTTAATAACAGATGCTAATCTGTGGAAAACATGAAGAGAAAATAAATGTTTTCTTGAACAAATCTCTCTCGCACAAATACAAGGCAGTCTATTTATCTTGCAAGTCCTCTGTGGATCTTTAAATTTCTAGGGTACTAGATGAACAAACTACCAGATAACAACCCTACTAAAGAGAGAGAGGGAGAGACTATCCAAAAAAAAGCACGGGGTTTTACTCCTAGATGAGTGTGATTACGACTAAGAGATCCCTAAATGTCTCCAAAATTTTACCACTGAAACTGTGCAAAACCAGAATAGATCCAAACTTATGACAGTCTTATTCAGATTTGTTGATAGTCGGTAGTTTTTAGGTGGATATGATGCAAAAGATCCTTCTATTTTATCTGTGTATATAACCAAGCATTGTCGGGATGAACATCAAGCTAGGTATACCCAGTCAACACATCAATTTAAGAACAATACCGCTAATATAGTATGTGAAAACTGGCTGCCTACTTTTGGGATAATAGGTACTGCAGAAAAGCCAAAAGATCAGTGTCCCTAGTAGTAAGCAGATTCATGCATTACCCCAAACACCTTATGTCCATGAATCAATTGTTAATTGACGAAGACACACAGTTGATTCTCTAGGTGACACAGGAATGATCATATCATTGGTGACCATCGCCAGTTGATTCTCTAGATGACACAGGAATGATCATATCACTAGTGACCATCGCCGGAGAATCCATCACAAGCAAGAACCTCACTAAGCCCTCGGCTCTTCGCCAACTCAAATTATATTAAAACTGCAGTCCCATTTGCAATTAAACGGATGAAGTTGTATTATAATAGTACCGCAGACAACAAAATCCACATAAGAAGTTAAAAAAAAAAACACCAAACAATTTATCGACTATCGCATTGTACATACACCATCAGAGCTAAATCATTTCTCGATCATCGCAGTATATTGGAAAAAGAATCAAAATTTCTCATAAACGCGGCATAAAAAAGAGAGATCTTTTTCACGTTGAGTGAGCTTCTAACCCTGAATTTGGAAGAGGATTTCCCTAACGCAGCAGACGAGCTCGAGGAATCGACAGAAGAAGAGACGCAACTGATTCTGAAGGGCTTGAAGGGCTGAGGACTTGGAAAATGAGATGACGAGAATTTTGAAGCGGGAGAAAATCTAAAGGGGGAGGAGGGTGAGAGGAAGAGAGAAGCTGCGGAGGCCATGGACGAGGGAAGGAGAGAGAGCTAGGATTTGGGTGGGAGGACAATGGGAGCGGTTGAGCTCCATCGCCTTCAGCTTCCTCTTCTTTGACTCTTCTTTTTCTTCTATTTTTTTGGGAATTTTGAAGGCCAGAAAATGTATCGATGGGCCAAGTTTTTCCCACGGCAGCCCAATTGTCAGATCCACGATTTATAGCTGCAGAATTGTTTTCTTATAAAATAAGAAAGAACGTGAAAATTTTTAGGGGTTTTTCTTTTTTAACCCAAAGTTTTACACCCACTTATTTAAAAACCCATTAATTTTTCCAAACATCAATACACACATTGTATCACACCCCACTTATTTCTAAACCCAATATGTATAATACACCCATTATTACTGTATTTACCCTCAAATTCACTACACAAGCTCTCTTCTTCCTTCCTCTTCTCCTTCAATGATCACCACCAACCTCCTCCTCTCCCCTTCCTTCACTTCACCTCCTCCCTCAAACCCATCAACCTCTCCCTCTGCTGCCCTTTATCTCCCCTCGTCGCCACGTCACCCATTGAAGGAGAAGAGGAAGGAAGAAGAGAGCTTGTGTAGTGAATTTGAGGGTAAATACAGTAATAATGGGTGTATTATACATATTGGGTTTAGAAATAAGTGGGGTGAGATACAATGGGTGTATTGATGTTTGGAAAAGTTAATGGGTTTTTAAATAAGTTGGGGTAAAACTTTGAGTTAAAAAAGAAAAACCCCAAATTTTTATTTTCGGATAACTTTTCCAAAAAAAATCTATCTTTTTTTTTATAGAAAAATGAATATTTTTTTCTTGTTTTAGGAAGAAATCATACTCCCTTTAAAAGCACGAGTTAGGAAAATCTTTTTTAGACAAATATACCCCTTTATAGTTTGAACTACCTTATCTATAATCAAATTCTAATTTTCAATGGTCAATATTACCCTTCACTATTTTGAATATTTTATTTATATCTTAATCTATCCTAATCATAATCATATCTTATCCTAATCCTATGTGAACCATGTTTAGCTTAACAATTTAAAAAAACTAATATTAATAAAATATATAAAACATAAAATGATATTAGTTTGTTAAGATAAAGAAATTACAAGTAGATAACATATTATAATACATGATGTATTGAAAAAAAACCATAAAAAGTTTTAAAATTGCAGAAAAGACCCTGAAAAGTTTAAAATTATTAAACTCATCCAAATGTCTCAAAACTTAAAATAAAAAATATGAAATTAAAAAATTAACATCAGTTTGCAAAGAATTTAAAATTTACAGTTAACACCTCAATGTCTCAAAAATTATAGAAACACCCTCAAAAGTTTAAATTACAGACAAGCACATTAAAATTCTAAAATTTTAAAACTTACAAACAACATAGATGAATTCAACAGATTACCATGATACACCTAAAATTTTTGACATTTAAATTTAAATTTTTTAATTAACACCCTCAATATCTCAAAAATTATAGAAACACCTTCAAAAGTTTAAATTATAAAAAGCCACCCTAAAATTCTAAAATTTGTAAATAAAATAAGATAAATTCAAGATATTACCCTTGGACACCTAAAAAATTAAAATTTGTCAAAATTAACCTCAAAATTTTTAAAAAACTCCTTCAAAATTTAAAAATAAAAAAAACTCTAAATTTTTAAAATTTTTAACTAGCACACATCAAATTCGCCGATTGGTAGATCGCTAAAATTTAATATTTTTCAAAATTAATCTATAGTTTTAATAATTGCAAAAGACACCCTCAAAATTTTAGAGTTACAAGAAATATACTAACATTTAAAAAATTACCACCAACACATGAAACATAGAATTTACAACTACCAAACTTAAAAGCAAAATTTTTTAAAAACTCTTTCAAAATTTTAAAAATTACAAATCACACCCTCAAAGTTCAAAACCACAAAAATGGGCTAAAATTTTAAAACTTGGTAAAGAAAAGTGTAATTGTTCGGTATTTTTCATATATATATATATATATATATATATGAATTCAATACACCTAAAATTGTTTAACAATACAGATGAATTCAAGAGATTATCATGATACATCTAAAATTTTTAACATTTAAATTTTAATTTTTTAATTAACACCCTCAATATCTCAAAAATTATAGAAACACCTTCAAAAGTTCAAATTACAGATAAGCACATTAAAATTCTAAAATTTTAAAACTTACAAACAACACAGATGAATTCAAGAGATTACCATGATACACCTAAAATTTTTGACATTTAAATTTAAATTTTTTAATTAACACCCTCAATATCTCAAAAATTATAGAAACACATTCAAAAGTTCAAATTATAAAAAACCACCCTAAAATTCTAAAATTTGTAAATAAAATAAGATGAATTCAAGATATTACCCTTAGACACCTAAAAAATTAAAATTTGCCGAAATTAACCTTAAAATTTTAAAAATCGTAAAAAAAACTCTAAATTTTCAAAATTTTTAACTAGCACACATCAAATTCGTCGATTGGTAGACCGCTAAAATTTAATATTTTTCAAAATTAATCTATAGTTTTAATAATTGCAAAAGACACCCTTAAAATTTTAGAGTTACAAGAAATATACTAACATTTAAAAAATTACCACCAACACATGAAACATAGAATTTACAACTACCAAACTTAAAAGTAAATTTTTTTAAAAACTCTTTCAAAATTTTAAAAATTATAAATCACACCCTCAAAGTTCAAAACCACAAAAATGGGCTAAAATTTTAAAACTTGGCAAAGAAAAGTGTAATTGTTTGGTATTTTTCATAT